ACACTATTTTTTTTAACAGGCGAAGTTAATATACATTTTTCCTATTTAAATAATTTAATGAACAAAAAAACATCACGACTTTTAATTCTCAAACAATTTACATATAGAAATGAATAAACAGGCTGTTGGTAGGATGGAATGAGTAAACCTTGTCTACGTGGTCTTCTCCCGATCAAGAAACCAAACGGCGCCGTCTTTTTAAACGACACCGTATTCTTCACCCAACAGATTCACATACAATCTCGAATGCGGCCACGACATTCAAGTAATTATCTCTAGAACTTTCTACGCGCTGCTGAAAAAATCTGTAATCCTCATAAAGCAAAAAGCCCCTGCGCCACTCCCACAAAAACCCTAAACCCTAGAAGTCTCCTCTCTTCTCCTCTCCTCTGCTGCGTCACCCAAGACGAGCGTCGCATTTCTTATCCATCCGCCTCTGCTGATCTGTCCTGTTATTCATGGCTACGGCAGTCCTGCTCCGCTCCTTAAGGCGCCGTGACTCCGTTTCGGCCTCCCTCTCTGCTTACAGATGTGTAAGTTTTCTTGCTCCGTCTGTTTCGTCTTCAATTGATCTCTCGTTTTGAATATTTCGATCTGTTGATGTGTGAAGTGGTTTTGCTCGTTTTGAGATTCAATTAACTGCTCATCGTTATTGAATAGGTGGTGTCTAGAAGGGTTGATAGTTGAAATAGGTTGTTTTTTGGTGTGGATCTTTCTTATAGAACTATTGTATCAAATTACTTGGTGCTGAGGTAGCTGTTATGAATTCTGATGTTTGTGGGTGTGTTTGTTATCCTTGGCGATTCATCAGGAATTTGCTTGTTTATACCTGTTATTTGTCTAGCTATTTCTTATGATAAGAAACATGGAAATGGGACATCTACAATTTGGAAAGTATTGTTCTTAGTGTTTTTTTTTTTTTTTTTTTGCCATGGTATTGTTCTTCGTAGAAACATGGGAATGGTACTTCTACAACCTGAAAAGCATTGTTCGTTTTGCCTGTTCATTGAATCTCTTTAACTGGTTACAGCCAAGGAACTTAGTAAACATAGAGTCAGATATTCTTTATATGTTGTGCAGTACACTGGCAGTTCAAAGACATCAGCTGGTATTAATTGGGCTAGTTTCTCAAGAGCTTTCAGGTATGCTTTTTGTTAGCATTTTCATTATTTATGTAAATTTTTTTGTTGTTACTGTATGTAACTCATGCACAATCTGTTTTTATAGTTCAAAACCTGCTGGAAATGATGTTATTGGTATTGATTTGGGTACCACTAACTCCTGCGTTGCTGCCATGGAGGGAAAGGTAACAATGGAAACTTGTATATTTTCTGAATTATTTTGTTAATTAGTTTTGGAAAGGGGTGATAATTCCTTGGTTGTCTCTGATTGAGTCAATGATTGACTGCAGACTCCCAAAGTTATTGAGAACTCTGAAGGTTCACGGACCACACCATCAGTGATTGCCTTTAATCAGAAAGGGGAATTGCTTGTTGGCACTCCCGCTAAACGTCAGGCTGTGACCAACCCAACAAACACACTTTTTGGAACTAAGCGGCTTATTGGTAGACGCTTTGATGATCCTCAAACACAGAAAGAAATGGGCATGGTTCCCTTCAAGATAGTTAGGGCACCAAATGGAGATGCATGGGTTGAAGCAAATGGGCAGCAATATTCTCCAAGCCAGATTGGTGCCTTTGTTCTGACCAAGATGAGAGAAACTGCTGAAGCTTACCTTGGAAAGACTGTCTCAAAAGCCGTCATCACTGTACCTGCTTATTTCAATGATGCTCAGAGGCAAGCCACAAAGGATGCTGGTAGAATTGCTGGCCTTGATGTGCAGAGAATAATCAATGAACCCACTGCTGCTGCACTTTCATATGGAATGAACAACAAGGAGGGTCTGATTGCAGTGTTTGATCTTGGGGGTGGGACATTTGATATTTCAATTTTGGAGATCTCTAATGGTGTCTTTGAGGTATGCATTCTTTTATTCTGTGAGGTTAAAATTATACTGATTTTAGGCAAATTGACCTAATTACAATCTCATCCAGGTGAAAGCAACAAATGGTGATACTTTCTTGGGAGGAGAGGATTTTGACAATGCTCTGCTGAATTTCTTAGTGAGTGAATTCCAGAAGACAGAGGGCATTGATCTGTCGAAGGACAGACTTGCTCTCCAGAGGCTCCGGGAAGCAGCTGAGAAGGCCAAAATTGAACTCTCATCAACATCACAGACTGAAATTAATCTTCCATTCATAACAGCTGATGCATCTGGTGCAAAGCACTTGAATATCACACTAACGAGATCAAAGTTTGAAAACTTGGTAAATCACTTGATTGAGAGGACTAAAGCCCCATGTAAGAACTGCTTGAAGGATGCTGGCGTTTCTACAAAGGAAGTTGATGAGGTTCTTCTTGTTGGAGGGATGACTCGTGTTCCTAAAGTTCAAGAAGTAGTTGCTGAGATTTTTGGCAAGAGCCCAAGCAAAGGGGTGAATCCAGATGAAGCAGTCGCCATGGGAGCAGCAATTCAGGGTGGTATACTTCGTGGAGATGTTAAGGAGTTACTTCTACTGGATGTCACTCCCTTATCACTTGGTATCGAGACACTTGGTGGTGTATTCACCAGGCTAATCAACCGTAACACCACTATTCCCACAAAGAAGAGTCAGGTTAGTGTGGAACATCATGCAGTGCCATCATCTATTTGGGCTTAGTTTAAGTAATTTTAAGTTGTCTTGTAGCAATTGATAATCTAATCACATGATGTCACCTGCATTTGATTGGTGGTTTAGTATATTGCATAAGCATTTAGCTTAGCTGTTATCAACTGCTTCTGTTTCACATGTCTGATTGATGCTCCCCAAATTTCAGGTATTCTCCACTGCAGCTGACAACCAGACTCAGGTTGGTATTAAGGTACTCCAGGGAGAACGTGAAATGGCTTCTGATAACAAGCTCTTGGGGGAGTTTGAGCTTGTTGGCATCCCACCTGCCCCTAGAGGCATGCCCCAGATTGAGGTCACATTTGACATTGATGCCAATGGTATTGTAACTGTTTCTGCTAAGGACAAGTCCACCGGGAAAGAACAGCAGATCACCATCCGTTCATCTGGAGGTCTTGCAGAGGATGAGATCGAGAAGATGGTTAAGGAAGCTGAACTGCATGCCCAAAAGGATCAACAAAGAAAGGCTTTAATTGACACCAAGAACAGTGCTGATACCACAATTTATAGCATAGAGAAGAGCTTGGGTGAATACAGGGAG